GGGACAGATCATCATGGAGAAACTAGGTGGTTGCTAACAGTCAACATTGACTTGATGGCATATAATCAATAATTCTTTTCAGAAAGTCTTTGTAATTCAGTGATTCAGAAAACAATTCTATGGAATTGTTTTTAAATTGGAAAATGTGGTGCTTTCACATATTCATTATGATATTTATTGGTAAGCCATCTAAATATTTGTTAACAATATTACTAATTGAGAGAGAGAAAAAACTGGCAATCCAAGAGGGAATTAATTAGGATTTGCAAAGCATTCAAAAGAAGCACTTCACAGTTTTTGTTCATACAAACTATGCACTACATCTTGAAGCATTAAAGTTGTCATCAACTTCAGAAGGGTGGTAAAGCCGCTTCAGAGGCTGTTGCTGGCTATGTATTTGTGTTTGTGCATGCATAACTGTTTCATTGGTAATCCCACCACAAATATTACCTTTGCAGAATAGAAATACTCTACAAAGTAGCCATGTAAGTGTCCCAAAGAACATTACTGTTTTAATGCAATAAACATTGTTCTATTCATAGATTGTAAAGCACTTCTTTCAACTACATTGTATACCCTATTGAGTTTTAAATAGTGTTAATTCTTAATTTCTTCACTTATTTCAACATTTCCCATATGTGAGGTGAGTCTATTCTTCTGTTGTTCAAATTCATCATGCAATTCAACATATTTTATTGTAATTTTAATTAATATAAATCTAAATAGGTAGTGGTACTAAATTTCCTCCTCTAAAACTGACTAAAGGTTAGAAACCTGCAAACGATTCCTGTAGCTGAAGATGTCCAAGTAGCTGGAAGTCATGTATCCGTTCCAGCATGGAATGATGCAGCTCTAATAACTGGTATCATTCTTAATTAAAATGCAAACTGGCAGGAAATAGAGAATGACACCCATGCAAGTCACTGATAACAGTATTAAGAGATTAACTCATTCTTGAAACCACAGAAAGGTTTAAATTTTAGTGAAGTGCCAGCTTTATACAGGTGAAAGTCGAAAAATTAGAATATAGTGCAAAAGTTCATTTATTTCAGTAATGCAACTTAAAAGGTGAAACTAATATATGAGATAGACTCATTACATGCAAAGCGAGATAGTTCAAGCCTTGATTTGTCATACTTTTGATGATTATGGCTTACAGCTCATGAAAACCCCAAATTCACAATCTCAGAAAATTAGAATATTGTGAAAAGGTTCAATATTCTAGGCTCAAAGTGTCCCACTCTAGTCAGCTAATTAAGCCATAACACCTGCAAAGGGTTCCTGAGCCTTTAAATGGTCTCCCAGTCTGGTTCAGTAGGAATCACAATCATGGGAAAGACTGCTGACCTGACAGTTGTGCAGAAAACCATCATTGACACCCTCCATAAGGAGGGAAAGCCTCAAAAGGTAATTGCAAAAGAAGCTGGATGTTCCCAAAGTGCTGTATCAAAGCACATTAATAGAAAGTTATATGGAAGGGAAAAGTGTGGAAGAAAAAGATGCACAAGCAGCAGGGATGACCGCAGCCTGGAGAGGATTGTCAGGAAAAGGCCATTCCAAAGGGTAGGGGACTTTCACAAGGAGTGGACTGAGGCTGGAGTCAGTGAATCAAGAGCCACCACACACAGACGGATCCTGGACATGGGCTTCAAATGTCATATTCCTCTTGTCAAGCCGCTCCTGAACAACAAACAATGTCAAAAGCATCTTACCTGGGCTAAAGAAAAAAAGAACTGATCTGTTGCTCAGTGGTCCAAAGTTCTCTTTTCTGATGAGAGCAACTTTTGCATCTCATTTGGAAACCAAGGACCCAGAGTCTGGAAAAGAATGGAGAGGCACACACTGCAAGATGCTTGAAGTCCAGTGTGAAGTTTCCACAGTCTGTGTTGATTTGGGGAGCCATGTCATCTGCTGGTATTGGTCCACTATGCTTCATTAAGTCCAGGGTCAACGCAGCCGTCTACCAGGAGATTTTGGAGCACTTCATGCTTCCTTCCGCAGACGAGCTTTATGGGAATGCTGACTTCATTTTCCAGCAGGACTTGGCACCTGCCAACACTGCGAAAAGTACCAAAACCTGATTCAATGACCATGGGATTACTGTGCTTGATTGGCCAGCAAACTCGCCTGACATGAACCCCATAGAGAATCTATGGGGCATTGCCAAGAGAAAGATGAGAGACATGAGACCGAACAATATTGAAGCATCCTGGTCTTCCATAACACCTCAGCAGTGCCACAGGGTGATAGCATCTATGCCATGCCACATTGAGGCAGTAATTGATGCAAAAGGGGCCCAAACCAAGTACTGAGTACATATGCATGCTTATACTTTTCAGAGGTCCAATATTGTTCTATGTACAATCCTTGTTTTATTGATTTCATGTAATATTCTAATTTTCTGAGATTGTGAATTTGGGGTTTTCATGAGCTGTAAGCCATAATCATCAACATTATGACAAATCAAGGCTGGAACTATCTCGTTTTGCATGTAATGAGTCTATCTCATATATTAGTTTCACCTTTTAAGTTGCATTACTGAAATAAATGAACTTTTGCACGACATTCTAATTTTTCGAGTTTCACCTGTAATCCAATCAATTCTGTAGATACATACTCATAAGAAAACTACCCTAATTTATTTATAAGAAATTATTAATAATAATTAATATCTGAATGTCTGGCATGGTTGAGATATCATGATATATAAAAAAGAAAGTCCCGTTTCTTTTCCATCTGCTTATCCATCAAACCTAAAAGAAAAACCTCCAGTTCAGTGATACATTTACTCTAAGAATTATCTGAATTAAAGTACATATCTGATCCCAATAACTATTAGCCTTCTTACATAGCCACCAAAGATGATGAAAAAGTGCCTTCAGAGAGGTTACATTGCCAACATATGTTTAACATACCAATTATACTTCTTTGATGATGTATCAGGTGTTAAATATCAACATACATCATCTTGAAAAATTCTCTTTAAATTATAATTCAAAGTAGATTTCAGTTCCTTCCATATAATCTCCCACTGACTTAGCATTATATTTTATCCAAAAAAATTTGCTCACTTAATCATAAAATCTTTAACATTGATCTTACATATTCAATAAATGTTTATACATCTTGGCAACAAGATGCTCATCGTTAGTATACTAATCCAGTTCAAATTAAGTTTTCTCATTTGTAAAAACAAAATTCTTATCTGAATTACATCTTTCTAACAGTTGAACATAAACAAACAATTGACAATTAAAATCCTCCTTTTCAAGTTGTTCCCTAGTTTTTTATTTGAAGTCTTTTTCAAAAAGTCAATAAAACTGCTTAAGTCAGCCAAATTTGTGTAGATTTCATTTTCCTCTCAAAAGCTTATTGGGGTGACAATCATAGAGGAATTTTGGAAGTCAATCTCAGTTTATTCCAAACATTCAGTACTGCATGAAAATCTCTATTAACTCTATTATGGTTAATCTCTTAACTCTATTATGATTTGTCATACCATAGATAGGCATGACACTCAAATCTCGAACCATATCCTTTCATATCCAGTAACCTTATATTTTTTCAAAGTGATCCAGTCTTTCATCCATACCAAACAGCAAGCAGGAAAATACAATTGTGAATCATATAAGCCTAACCTTATCTTTTTTATATATCTTGCAACAATTTATGTTTAATTTCCCCTTGCTATAAAAACGTTTAAGTAGGTTGTTATTGATATTGATGACAGCAAAAAGTACAGATGTTGATGTCTGCAAAAAGACAAACCTATTGAGTAATGTCTGTTTTACATCATATTACTGACAGAAATCTGTTTTATTAGGTGGAAGTTATGCATATGTGTGATATTTGATTTTCTTCCCTTCAACTGTATCCGACTTTCAGAGTCTGCCTGGACAAGTCCATGCAATTTCCTTAGCAAAATGGTTTGCCATTGCCTGCTTTCTAGGGCTGAGAGAGAATGACTAGCCCACAGTCACCCATTTGGCTCTGTGCTTAAGGCTGGACTAGAACTCCAGGTCTTCCGGTTTATAGCCTGATACTTTAATCACAATCCAAAAGTGAATTGTGAAATATAGTAGTAATTCAAAGGGGGAGAAACTATTGAAGTTTTGATGTGCATTTAAACTGGAAGCCTTAATTTCCCCTCCAAACAAATAAGGCAGTGTTCTAGAACCTTGAACTTGAAATATTCTAGATCACAATGTGCAAAGTGGTGAGGATTCCTGTATGTTTAGCTGAATAGATTTCTTTAGACAGCAATAGATAAAAGAGTCATTGTGATAGCTTCATCAGTATAATATTGCTATGGCGTACTTGAGACAGACTATGTAAGTTGCTAAATCAAGCCAAATATATATTTTTTACAATATTAGTATAGCCTTTTGCAAATTGATATCAACCAAGTAAATTGAGTTTCTCAGAATTATCAGCCAACAGCATATCAATCAGCCATGCTCAGCGGGAATTCTGAAATAAGTTGTCCCAATATATCAGGCTACAATAAACAAGAAAGTAATTTTTTATATTCTACTTTCTGTGAGCAAAAGCAAAATTAAAAAAAATATACTTAAATATTTATTCAAGGTGCAATTTCTTATTTTTTATCTGTTAATTTTCCTATCAGAGAGCTGTGCCTATCTACCGTATATCATTTTTAAAAATACATATACTATAATTTACCATTTTTCTACAGTAATAAATAAAATTTCAGATGAAAGGTTATTGTTTTCTAATATATATTTACAAACATAATTACAAAACTGACTTAGTTGTGTTCAACTGTTGAATGTGAGTGCCCTACGTATTAGATGAAGAATTCAACAGATTGAAGTAATATCCTATTACTTCTTACATGGGAATCAACCCATTGAATCACTAGGTTTTACTTGCAAATAGATATTTATAGGAGGTTATTTTATGTAAGAGATATGCATGGTGGACCTAGAAGAAATAGTGATCTAATAATGTACATTTGCTTACTGGAGATCTCTCTTCAGTCCCTTTAGCACATGGAATCCTTCACAGATACTACTGTACATTGCTGTTCTGGATGAGTGGAAGGTAAATGTATTTTTTTTATGAAGTTCTATTACAGAAGTCAACATATTTACTTAAAAGTCTGTAGAGATTCTCAGTCATCCAGGTCATGGTTGTCCCAAAGGTGCTTTTTCAGGAGGCAACTGGACTTCCTTGTTTTTCTTTTGAAATTGTTTCTATCCCCCACTATCCTGTCAGAGCTGAAGAAACTTCTTGGATGAGAAGCAAAACATCTTCAAAAGAAAAACAAAGTCCAGTTGCCTCCTGAAAAAGCACCTATGGGACAACATATTTACTTGTTACAAAGTAAGCATATATCACCTCATATATTTTTATGCCACTTTCTAACTTCATCTATTTGTCTGTACATTGCTTACAACTGAAGCTTTTGAAAAAAAATGACGGGGACAACTCAGTTATTTATAAAACTAAACCTTATGGCAGGCAGAAATACCTTTAAAGTGGTGTTTCTCAAACCTTTTCCTTCCATACCCAAAACTGCATTTCAGAATGTCTTCTTTTACCCAATATAGGTAAAACTTTTTAAGTCAATTTAAATATCCCTGTTGTGATTGGGTAATGGGTTTGTATGTTTTTACCCAAAGAAAAAACATTTTACCTAATTGGGGGTAATTTACCTAGGTTTAGGGAAAACCTTTTAAGCTAACAAAGATAATGTTAAATTTGCTTTCTACTGAGTCAAACATAGCTGATAAACTCCATTTATACCAAAGAATTTTGTGAAGACATCTGTAAGATGGTTCCAATACAAAGGAAATGCTGTAATGTTTTGATTGCATACTCCTGTTGAGAATATCTTACATATGTTTGATGACAAAAAACATGATGATGAGCAGAAGAGTCTTTGAATGAGAACACTACAGAATGAACGCTTGTTTGGTCAAGTATATCTCTCTGACATATCTTTATGACGACTTGAGCTATTTCTGAGTGGTCTATTTAATATATATGCGTATTATTTAATAATACAAGAGGAATTGGCTGATAGGTCTATATCAGATCCCTCTAAGGCAGGGATGGGCAACTGTGGCCCTTTTACAATCTGTGGACTTCAACTCCCAGAATTCCTGAGACAGCCAAGCTGTCTCAGGAATTCTGGAAGTTGAAGTCCACAGGTTGTAAAAGGTCCACAGTAGCCCACCCCTGCTCTAAGGGAACAACTGCTTATTAACTTACTAATTTTCTACAGTATGTATTACATTTATTTAGTGTATGGAGATATTGCATTAGCCAGGAAACTACAGTGTTAATACAAAGTACTTGTTTGACTGCCGACAATGGCTAGTCCATTCAGTTCACACTTGTGCACTATTCAGAGTTGCACCACAGAGAACAGACTAGTTCCACACTCAGAAAGGTTCAATGGTGTTCTATAGCAGTCATCCGGGGCTTCTCCTTCCACTAATGTCACCTCAGACTTTGTGTTATATTGGCAAAGGTCCAGTACCAACTGGATTCATACTACTGCACAAAATGCCATTATTTTCTCATGAAAGTGGTACCGATTTAAGTACCTATTACTTAACATGTAGCATGCTTTTGAACTGCTAAGTTAGCTGGAGGCAAGTGAAGGGAGCTCATTCCACCATGCCGATAGAACTTGAACCTCTAGAGCAAAGACCTTTTCCAGGCCCTCTAAGCCACTGAGCACCTTTTATGGATTACATTGTACAGACTGATTATAGTGTAGATTCAGGTGGCTAGATTCTGCAGAGCAGCACTGGGGATTCGTTGGAAACATGTAATTAATCCACCATAACTATTTTACACAACTAATGTTATTTTGTCAATAATATTTCATATTGAAATTTTGTTGTTCATACATTGTGAGCCAGCAAGAGCTGTATGAAGTTGGGCAGTACCTAAACTGAATTTAACTTATCAATTCCTTAGTATTTTTTTCTAAGTTCTTTAAATAAATCTTGGATGTTAGAAATAGGTTGGATTAAGAGAAATAATCTCTCAATCTTGAGAAATTAAGTCAAATAAATATGATCATTTCAAAAGCCAAACTCTGCAGCTTTACTTAAGAAATTCTGATTTTACAAAATAGAATCATTAATATTGCCAACTGAAGTGCTAGATTTAATTGTATATGTATATAGTATACCTGTACTATTTAGAATTAGATAAAATTGATTCAATCTTTACTTTTAATTAGATTTTTTGGAATTTACATCTAATACAACTAAAAATACGTATCATTCAGTCTAACAGTGTTACAAAGGACCTCCTATAAATTTAGAAGAATTTACTTTTATGTTCATATGTTAGGATCCTAGCCTCGTCATTTGAGGCAATTTAAGATACTAACCATTCCGTCTAATTTTTTAAAAATGCTAAATTAATTGGCAATATCCTAGAAAATAATCATGCATGGGAATAAATTTACAAGATCAGTGCTCACTCTAGGAGTGAAATAAGGCTGCATATTCTCCACTTACTTACTCAACCTTTATGCAGAAAACATAATGAAGGAAACTGGATTTGAATAAAATGAGCATGGTTTTAAAATTGAAAAAAGAAACATACTCTAGTAAGAAAGTCAAGAAATAGAGTGAAAAAATGGAATTCAGATTAAATATAAAATATACCAAACTGATTACAAATGATATAACTGTTCTTATAATTGACATGTAGATATTTGCCTTTTAGAATCAAGTATCAGCAGAAAACAGTTGTAAATCAAGAAATAAACTGCAGACAAACAGTTTATTTTTAGCCATGAAGGCCTTGGAAAAGTTATTCAGATGCCTGTACACCTCTAAACCTACAAAGATTAGAATGGTACAGGCAATAGTTTCCCTATGACATTCTTTGTATATGAAAATTGACCTTTTGAGAAAGCAGTTGGAATCAGTATTGAAGCTTTTGAACTTTGAGTTTTGGAGAAACTTATTGAGATTGCCATGAATAGCCAAGAAAAAACACAAATGGTTCATCAAAAAAAATCAACCTAAAGTTCTTACTTGAAGCATAAGTGATCAAGTTTAATTTATCCTGCTTTGGACACATTAAAATGACTGCTCTCTGGAGAAGTCTACAATAGTGAATGGGAAAAGTGAAAGGAAAGGAAAAAAGATGATGAGCAGGAATTTATTTGAACTCAGTTGCAGCAGTGATAGGTGCACCATTGGAAAACCTGATCGACCAGATTGAGAACATATCCTCCTTTAGAAAATGTCTCTGGTTGCTAAGAGTTAAAACTGACCTCATGACTCATAATCATCAAAGTACACACTTTGGAAAAGACTAGGACAGTGGCTCTCAACCTTCCTAATGCTGCGACCCTTTAATACAGTTCCTCATGTTGTGGTGACCCCCAACAATAAAATTATTCCTAAGACCATTGAAAATATTTGTTTTCCTATGGTCTTAGGCGACCCCTGTGAAAGGGTCATTCGACCCCCAAAGGGGTCCCAACCCACAGATTGAGAACCACTGGACTAGGACATTACATGAGCATAGCACTTACCTGCTATTAATTAAATTCTCTTTTTTTCAGGTTTTCATGCAATGTAGAAAAATGTTACAATACTTTAACGAGTCTGTTCATTAATTTTAATGCAGCTCTTGAAACAGCTACAAACAGGTTACTTTGATAAATAGCAAAGAATTGTAAGCTTGCATAAGATTCTTTCCTGACTTGTATTTCTTCCTAATCATTTTATATTTTGTTTATTTGTTTTCAATGTTAAGGCATAGGCTTTGCTGTATATATTGAAACCATCATCCAGACAAAAGAGTTAGGGAAATTTTTAATAATTTAAATAATAGTCCATAAGGATACTGTAGGATGGGAAAATGTAGACATTGCTGGGCATAAAAGAAAAAGAAAAACTGAAAATAATTAGAATGGGAAATGTATGTATTGCCCTATAAGTAAGTTTTGAACAGAAGTTTTACATTTTTGGGTGCAATTTTTATTTTGAAACAAAATTAGATAATTATGCTAATTAAATATTCACAAATATGTTAGTTTTTTAAGAATATAAATATAAAATCACCACTAGGTGGCACCAAATTCTCACACAATATAATTGACACTGTTTTACTGTAGTTGTTACTAGCTGTTAAGAAAACAAATTTAAATGACTGAAAAGATAAATGTCTGCTTTTAAAATACTGCATTAGTATTTTTCAGCACTACTTTTCTGTAACTAATGTGCAATTGTCTAAAATGTTTTGTTAGCCTCAAAACAAAACAAAAGGTAAAAATTATTACTTCTTTTCTAGCAGCACAGTAATGTCAAATAACAGAAGTAGATTTTTTTAAAAGTAATTTTATCCATAGTTATTTTTTTATATATGTATCACTTGAGCTCTTTCAACAAAATTATTTATTAAGTGCATATACAAAAATGTAAATATTTTTATCTGGTCATTTAGAAACCCTCCATTAGAGGGCATTGGGATCAAGCACCTAATTATGTAGATTAGAGCTCTATACATTTTAGAATAAGGCCTTTTCCAGCAATGCTCAAAAAAGCAGTCTGTGTTTGCATTGAGGAAATGCAGTAGCATAGATGGAAAGGCTCTAATTATGTATTTATCTTAATGTGCATTCAGTCTGAAGGAAAAAGAGTTTGCAAAAGAGGAACAAGAGGAAAAGCGAAGCTTTTTGTAACAATATATCTGCCCTCAAGTTATGAGGAATTTAACAGATGTATTAGATTCTAAGAAATGGAAGCATCAGGAAAGATGGTGTGTACCAAAAGAGAGTAGTATTCTCATAGTGGTAGCTTTTTTACACAACCAATAAATTTATAATCTAAAATTAGATTATAAATCCATATCATACATTGTAGGTGTTCTATTTCAGATACACTACTGGGCATTCAAGTTTGAACCATGTCATGGATAAAAACAAAATGTAGATATTCTAAGAGTTTTTGGAATGAGTTAAGGAAATAAATGGACAATCTGACTCTGGAAACATGATTAGGTATCAGAACTAAGTTATCAATAAGATCACAAGGGACATAATAAAAAATGAAATCAGA